CATACTTTCCGAACATTATTTCTTAAATGGGACATCAAATATTAATTTACAAAGGCACATTCACATATAAATACCAATATAAATAGACCTATGTGTCTATGGGTATACAGAAAATATAAATAGATTGGTCTAATATATCTACAAAAACTTAAATAAATTTAAATTGGACTGCACACATCAAAATTAAGCACACAGGAATGGCCGATCCAAAACTGAGCTGCGTTGCGCATGCTCGGAAATCTTAAATTCAATCGAAGCATGGAGCCAATTTCATCAGATAGCAAATTCCGAATTAAACGAATAGTCCCGAATGGCAGTGATGGTTCATTCTTATCGGAAAATAAATCAATAATTTGAAATAACCAAGAGAACATAACTCCGTCAACATTGAAAACCCAAAACAAATATGTCCGCGGATGGTGCACAAAAGCAGTGTATTTTACAATGCAGTCGAATGGATATATCTTGTGAAATATAGCACGCAGGTACAGTTTCTTGGCAGTTTATAATAAAGGATCATCTAGGGTTGTTTATATAAATATAGTGCCATAACTGTAAATAGTTTTCGAGATTTTTTTTCAGCTCGGGTCACCCTACCACTTTAAATTATAGCCGTTTATGAATATAGATCGAACACGTCATACTTAAACTCATCAGCAACTATACTATTCAAAAAAAGTAGGGGATATTTGATTTTGGGTGCATAATACTAAAATATGCAAATGACTACGAAAAAAGTCACTATAGAACCTAACAGAAGAAACATTTCCAGTTACATGTGACGCCCAAACGCACCAATAGCTACCGCATGGAATGCAGGTGATGCTTGGGATCATCATGGGGGTCCAACCCAAGATTTGCACGACTCTGACTTTGAATGTTACAGTCATTGTGGCATTGAATTCCAGGGTGGAAACATCAGTTTAATTGTTTTAGTGACCAGAAAACAAATTTTGATATGCGTCGGCTTACCCAAAATGAAAGGTTACGTGCCCTTGGCATGCTACAGATCGGCACAACACAGGCGGTTGTGGCGCGGACGATGAATGTTTCTCAGTCTGTCATAAGCAGGCTATGGTCCAGATACCGTGATACACAATCTGTACAGGACAGACCACGCTCAGCTCGACCAAGGGCGACAACTCAAGCCCAGGATCGATTTATCCGTACCTTGGCCTTGAGAAATCGTGTCATCACAGCAAATCAGATCAGCGCTCGTCTTCAAACAGACACTGGTGTGAGAGTGAGTGGCCAGACGATTCGGAATCGACTGCATAGGGGTCACCTTCGCGCCCGACGTCCTCGCGTGATCTCTTGTTTGAGAGATCATCACATTCAGGCAAGACGTCGTTGGTGTAGGGATCGTCAACACTGGGATAATCGACGCTGGAGCAATGTGATGTTTTCAGATGAGTCAAGGTTCACAGTTGATTTTTTGGACAGACGTAGGAGGGTGTGGCGTCGTCGAAACGAGCGCTTCCAAGACGTTAACGTCATCAGACATGATCGATTTGGGGGTGGTTCTGTTATGGTGTGGGGAGGCATCACTGTTGCTGGAAGAACGGCTTTACATGTTGTTGCAGGGCGTATTACAGGCCAGTACTACCGGGACAACATCTTGGTAGTCCATGTTGTGCCGTTCGCACGACGTCATGGCCGCCGTTTCATCTTCCAGGATGACAACGCAAGATGTCACAGGGCCAGGATCGTTACAGGTTACCTCCAACAACAGAACATCACCACATTACCTTGGCCAGCACTGAGTCCCGACCTCTCCCCCATCGAGCATGTCTGGTACATGCTTGGACAGAGGTTACGTCAACGTCAACAACGTCCTGCCAATGTCCAAGAACTTGCTGCTGCGTTGCAACAGGAATGGGACAATCTGGACCAAAATGACATTAGACGTCTCATTAGGAGTATGCCAAGTCGGATCAATGCTTGTTTGGCAAACAGAGGAGGATTTACCCGTTACTGACTTGGTTGTGATGCTGTGGTAACTTTGCTGTTTGACCCCGGGTATCATTTTACCCTTATAATGGTCAGTCTGTGCCTTACTTAGTCTAACGATCATTGGAATAAATCGATGAATGTGAACTTCATTTCATTTTGTCATTTGTTTCTTCGTCAGTTTCATTAGGTGACTTTAATAACACTTAATATTCAAATATCCCCTACTTTTTTTGAATAGTATATAAAGCTATTGATGATAAATATAAGATATTGAATAAAATCTTACCATTCAACGTGTGGTTTAATACTATAAATACATATGGAATATGTTATTTAAATACACACACATGTAAATGTGTCTATTCCATATGTCTAGCCTGTGCGATGTTCTGTAGTGGAGTGCAGTTGAATCTCCGTGCATTTCGCGGCTGGAGTTAAAAACCAATCAAATCATTCAAACAATCACACGTGACGGACACACACAAGCTTACCGACAAAGAACAAACTATTATGGACAACCTCAACACACAAAAATAAAACACGCTAGCGCAATATTAATATACATATTAACCATGCGACAATAAGAATAAACTAACATCTAAACATGTCTCTTGTTTATTGTTTTTTCCGGATCTTTTGAAAAGTGCTGTTATAATCAATCTGATTAAAATACAGATCTATATTTCGTTTCGTTTTTTTTATACTTTCGATGGCATACATTACATGAACATCTGACCGGTTGTAGTGGGGGTGGCGTCAGAGGTCATACGATCGGTTTTTGACCCTATGACGTCAGACATTGATCAATCAACCAGCGTTGAGAAGAACTCGTCGTAACAGACGGTTTCATTGGCTAATCCCTTACATTAACCAGAACGTGGCTTATATAACAACTCTTCCAGATCCTAGTGTTATGAAGACGAAATTTGGAACTATAAAAAACGGACAAAAAAGGATCCGTGTTTTAATCAGATTGCATTATAATTTAATATTTTGAATGACGAAATCGGTACTGAACGAAAAAAAAGCTAACGAAAAGACACTTTTCAGGTCAATTTTGAACCAAGTAGTTTCTGTCCCCAAAAATACATTTTACCCCCCACCTCCCATACAATGGAAATCTGATACACATATTTAGAGATGTGCAGCGAAATTAAAAGTAATGTTTTTATCAAGCTCTAAGAAAATAATCATTTAAATGAACGTGAATTCATTTCCCGCCAATTTACCCCCGCCCCCTTTCCACACAAGCACACCTGCAACAACCCACCCCACGCCACAAATCAAAACAGTTGTCCAGGGGCATCATATACACTTATTTAGAGATGGACAGTCCTAGAAATCTATGTTTTATTATTATATAACATTATCATCATTTATGTCAATATAATGACATTTCCCCCCAATTGTAGACATTGGACCCTCTTATCTCGAAAACACCCCCCTCAAACGCCTGATCACATTTTGCCCACACCCCCACCCCCATTAAATATTAAATGGGAATTTATACTCATATTTAGAGATGTGCAGCGGAATTAAAAAAGGTAATGATTACCAAGCTCTAAGAAAATGACCTTAGACGTCTCATTAGGAGTATGCCACGTCGGATCAATGCTTGTTTGGCAAACAGAGGAGGATTTACCCGTTACTGACTTGGTTGTGATGCTGTGGTAACTTTGCTGTTTGACCCCGGGTATCATTTTACCCTTATAATGGTCAGTCTGTGCCTTACTTAGTCTAACGATCATTGGAATAAATCGATGAATGTGAACTTCATTTCATTTTGTCATTTGTTTCTTCGTCAGTTTCATTAGGTGACTTTAATAACACTTAATATTCAAATATCCCCTACTTTTTTTGAATAGTATATAAACTCATTTCCCACCAATTTCCCCTCCCCCCTTACATACACGCAAACCTACAACCATCTACCCCACCTCGCCATAAAATAAAAAAAGTTTAACAGGGGCATCATAAACACTTATTTAGAGATGGACAGTGCTAGTAATGTATGTTTTATTAATATATAACATGATCATCATTTATTTCAACATGATCACATTATTCCCTCAATTGTAGACATTGGAACCCCCCCCCCCCCATATCTCGAAAACGCCCCCTCAAACGCCTGATCACCACCCAGATTCGGAATCTACGCAAACAACTGGTCTAGAAAAACTAGATCTCTTAAATTCACAGCTCGGGTGGCGATCCCCCCTCCCCCCCTTCAGCCACCGGACTATATATACCTTTACTATTGTTGTTGCTTTTCTGCGTAGACTGTCATGGCGGCTCTAAATCTAATGCCTCACTTTACTTGGGCCAATCAGCCATCCAGTTATTTATAGAGATCAGTGGTCATCTCTCATGAACCTCCGATTTGGGCACAAAGCAGTGAGGCTTCTTAAACTCAACTAAATTGTTATTTTGTGTTTCCATAGTCAACATTTTTTGGAGTTACTGGGTGTTGTTTTGGCGACGCGCCCTACGTTATCATAATCATGATGCATATATGTGAAATGAATTCTGGTGGTCTTCCAAATAAAAACACCTACAGCGCCTTCATCTGGCAAGTGGAGAGACCAAAATAGTTATGTATTATAATGTATTATGCATTTAAAATAAATTAATTTTGTGGGAGGAATCGGGGGTTTTCGAAGTGAATTCCGGTGATTATATGTGATTTCCGGTGATTGTAAATGATTTTCGGTGATTAGTCGGGCCCGTATTAGTGATTAGTAAATAGGAAGGTAGTGCGAATTCCGATATTTTGAAATTGAATTCCGGTGTTTATATGTTTTCAAAGTGAATTCCGGTGATTTTTGGTGTTTGTAAGTAATTCATTATTAATATTAATGCAAATTATATGTAAATAGGAAGGCTTTGCGAGCGAATTCTGATACTTGCAAAGTGAATTCCGGTGTTTATAAGTGATTTCCGGTGAATACCGGTGATTAGTCTACCCACTGTATTGTGCGTTCTGTTTTACGAGAAATTGTGGAAAGTAACAGGTGTGTAAAATCAAATGTTATTTACTGATTCGCCTGATTTGTGGTGTTGGTTGATAATTAGTCACCCTGAACACCCCCTGTTACCCCGAGACCGAGTCCCTTCGACCACGGGAATTATTAGTTAGTACAAGTTCTAGCATGGACCTTTATTATAGCCTAATGACAATCACAATGTGTAGCCTGTAGGCCTATGGTACGAAAGTGCAATATGATAGCCTAGTGTCATTTTATTTTGTTATTACATAAATAATCAGGCTGTCAAGATTCACCCAGCTACATTGTGTTTATCTGCCACAAATTAATTTCCGTAGTGTTCCCCGCTCTCTCGGATTTAATGAAAAATGGCCGCTTTCTTGTCGGTTGCTGCTCGGTAGGTCAATTTCAATTAACATTATTTCCTGGTAACTACATTTAATATCTTCGTATATATGTTATATTTAATATTTTAAGACAGAAATAATTAATTTGAAGGATATTTAATATCATATTTCTGTTTTCACCCCCTCCCCCACCCCTCCCAAGAAAAATGGTGGCACACGTGACATACTACTCACCTAATAGTCTTAGGCTAGTTCCTCAGTTCCTGCTAAAGCAAAAGATCTCTCAATCTGATACACCCTGACCGCTGACCGTTCCAATAACTGTAATATGAAAATACCGCTCTTCCCCACCTCTGTTCTAAGGCTATTTTGGAATCCTTACCAACTAATATATTTTTCACTTGAAAATAGTGTTGACTAATGAATTATTATAAATTTGCATCAGATATGGCAAGAAATTATTCTTTTTGGTGAAAAACAAAGAATCACGCCTTCACTGCGAAAAATAGCAAGTGAAGTTTCCAAAATAGCCTTAGAGTTACAACAGAGGTGGGAAGAGCGTATTTTCATATTGCAGCTATATACATGTAGGAACGGTTACTAAATCTATGCATCCTTTAAATTAGTGAAACGAAGAAGCATATTGAATTTCAGTAAGTTCAGTTAATTATGTCTAGAGTTATGCCCCTTTTTTGTCCAACCCCGTGACAAAATTTCTCATCCGATCTGTATGAAATTTATATGTATTAGGCCTACTTAAATTAGTGAAATGAAGAAACCTATTGAATTTCAGCAATTTCTGCAATCTGATTAAAATACAGATTTATATTTTGTTTCATTTTTTATACTTTCGATGGCCTCTACTATGAAGATCTGACCAGTTGTAATGGGAGGTCACATCAGGGGTCATATGAGTGGCTTTTGACCCATGATGTCAGACATTTGATTAACCAATCAGCATTGATGTTTATAGTGGAATACCCACAGTTCTGTGCATCACACACCAAGAAGTTGAGCTGCAACAGACTGTTTCATTGACAAATCTTTCACATCAATCAGACTGCGGGTTATATAACAAATCTTCCAGACCCTAGTGTAGTAAAGACAACTAAAACAAAATTTTGAACTAAAAAACGAAACGCAATAGGATCAGACTACGGGTTATATAACAACTCTTCCAGATCCTAGTGTAGTAAAGACAACTAAAACGAAATTTTGAACTAAAAAACGAAACGCAATAGGATCTGTTTTTTAATCAGATTGCAATTTCTGTTAATTACATCTAGAGTTATGACCCTTGTTTCACTTTGTCAAACACTGTGAACGCTCTTATGACAAAAATTATCATCCGACCTGTATGAAAGTTATATGCATCCTTTAACTTACTGAAACAAAGAAGCCTTTTGAATTTCAGCAATTAAAGTTCATTAATTCAACATGTTATGACCCTTGTTTCACTTCGTTGAACCTTGTGAACATTTTAACGACAACACTTATCATCTGATCTGTATGAAATTTATATGCATAATTGCATCATTTAAAGTAGCTAAGTCTCTAACTCAATATCATCCAAAGTCATACACGTTGAAAATACAAATTATTTGCCAATTTAAATCAACATTGATGTTGTGATCTTACCAGGAAAAGACAGGCTTCTGATATCCAATATTTGAGACAAAATAAACATTTTACCATTGGTACACGAATCGTGTACCATAGTGCGTTTTAGTGTCATTTGCAACAAGTGACCAGAAAGAAAGAGGCTAGACATATTCAACTGGAGAGACTGGAATAACCAGACGCTAGAAATTGCTTTAGGGTTTAGAAACAGGCCGTATTTCGCTGGACATAACTGATTTGAAATTAAGAGTCAAAACGGAAACAATTGAATGTAAATCAGTTTATATACAATCAGATTACATTATTATATGCGTTACGACCCATTTGGGTCAATTTCTAGGTCCCAAATATTAGCGATTTAGCTCCTTTAAATTAGTGAAATGAAGAAGCCTTTAGAATTGCAAAAATTTCTGTTAATTACATCTAGAGTTATGGCCCTTGTTTCACTTTGATGAACTGATCTGTATGAAATTTATATGCATCATTTGAATTACCGTAGTGAAACAAAGAAGCCCTTTGAATTTCAGAAATTTCTGTTAATTACGTCTAGAGTTATGACCCTTGTTTCACCTTGTTGAACCCTGTAAACGCTCTGACAACGAAAGTTATCCGATCTGTATGAAATTTATATGCATCATTTAAATTACTGAAACCAAGAAGCATATTGAATTACATTCTTTTTATACGCCCACATTTTCATGTGGACGTATATTGTCGTCGCCCCTGTCCGTCCGTCCGGACGTCTGTCCCCAATTGTTTGTGAACAGTCTACAGGTCACAATTTTTATCCGATTTCAATGAAACTTGAAATATAGTTTTATCACCCTAAGATCTTGGTTTCTTTCAATATTGGCATGTATCGGACTGTAACTTCATGGATTATGGCCCCTGATTGAACGAAAAATCACGTTTTTAGCTTGTGAACACTGTAGAGGTCACAATTTTTATCCGATTTAGTTTATTTTGAAATGTATGATTATAACCCAAAGATCTCGGTTCCTTTCGATATTCGCGCATATCGGAACGAAACTTCCTGAATTATGGCCCCTGATTGTACGAAAAATCGCGTTTTTAGCTTGTGGACCCTATAGAGGTCATAATTTTTATCCGATTTAAAAAAACGTGTTATTATATCACCGTTAAACCCTAAGGACGGCTGAGTTCGAACTTTGTGAAAATCGGCCCAAAACTGACAGACAAAATGGCCGCCGTTCGTTCTCAAATAGCGTAAAAATATGGTATATCAAGGTTGTGGACCCTATAGAGGTCACAATTTTTATCCAATTTTGTTGAACCTTGAAATGTAAGTTTCTAACCAAAGATCTCGGTTCCTTTCGATATTCGCGCATATCAGAACGTAACTTCCTGAATTATGGCCCCGGATTGTACGAAAAATCGCGATTTTAGCTTGTGGAGCCCATAGAGGTCATAATTTTTTTGCGATTTAAAAAAACGTATTATTATATCACCGTTAAACCCTAATGACGCCTGAGTTTGAATTTCGTGAAAATCGGCCCAAAACTGACAGACAAAATGGGCGCCGTCCGTTCTCAATTAGCGTAAAAATATGGTATATCAAGGTTGTGGACACTATAGAGGTCACAATTTTTATCCAATTTTGTTGAAACTTGACAAGTAAGTTTATAACCCAAAGATCTCGGTACCATTCGATATTTGCGCATATCGGACCATAACTTCCTGAATTATGGCCCCTGATTGTACTTAAAAATTGCTTTTTTAGCTTGTGGACCCTATAGAGGTTATAATTTTTATCCGATTTAAAAATCCGTGTTAATATATCACCGTTACACCCTAAGGAAGGCTGAGTTCGAATTTCGTGAAAATCGGCCCAAAACTGACAGACAAAATGGCCGCCCCTCGTTCTCAAATAGCGTAAAAATATGGTATATCAAGGTTGTGGACCCTTTAGAGGTCACAATTTTTATCCGATTTTGTTGAAACTTGAAATGCAAGTCTATAACCCAAAGTTTGTGGTTCCTTGCGATCTTCGCGTATATCGGACCGTAACTTCCTGAATTATGGTCCCTGATTGTACGAAAAATCACTTTCTTTTTAGCTTGTTCTCTATCCATCTCTCGAAAATGTGGGCGTATCCTGCCTGGCATCCGCTGGTTACTGGTACCCCTTATTTCTCAGAGTCTGCTTTAGATATTGATTATCAGTTACAAACTGATATATGCCAACATTACTGATTAAAACAAATTCAAATGGTCGAAAACTGAAAGTCGGCCGTTGTTTTGAAATTTCTATGGCTATTCTAAATTTTTTTACATTTTTGGATAGCTTGTCGCAGAGTCTAATACATGTAGGTAGCAGTTGACAATTTTGAAATTTTGTTGCTGTCTATTTACGCCCGAAAGGTTGTTTACAAAACAATTTTTGATATTTTTCAAATGTGACCTACATTTCTGGATACCTGAAGCTAGCCCGATTTCAGCAATATAAGTCATTCAGAGTTAACGCCCTTTATTTTTAGAATTTTTAAAAAATTTTCTGCCCATTTTGAAAACCGTATTTTTTTTTTTTTGAACTGCCCAATCTGTGTTTCTGAAACTTCTTGAACATGAAGTAATGTGCCCAAGCCTATGAAAATAAAACTATCCCAACAATGATCCGTAAACTGGAAGTAATTGAAATAATGTCTGATATTTTGAAAAAAGGGATGCATTTGAGAAAAACGTGATTGCTCTGTTGGATATCACCGGATCATATTAACCAAAGTATTGTTGAGTGGCCCGATGAATTGATACATATTTGATAATAATGAAGAAAAATATGCCACGCAGGAAATCAAGTATTTTCTCATTTTGAGCCTTTTTGAACGCCTTTATTTCCAAAACTACTCCAGCGATTTTTCTAAAACTTTCTATATCGAGCGTCCTTTCGGTACGCTTGTGCAGGATAACATTCAATATGACTTTGAAATAACTGCAATAGGACAAAAAAGGGACTGAAAATCGAAAAAAAGACGAAAAATCATTAAATTTTGGAAAATGCTCTATCATTTTTTTATTTATACATATTTTCAAAAATAATTGATATGTTTTGATAGCTGATCCAATGTCGATTCTAATGATGTATAATAATAATATGTATTGAGTTATTGAAATTTAATTTTCGATATTTTGACACTTTTGCAGTTATGGCACTTTTGAACACACGATTTCTCAGGTTAATTTCATCTGATCAGATAATGTTATATATCTATATAGAGCCCTGCTACTATTCAAAACTATCCCCCACAATGATTCGTATACCGGAAGTAAGTCCCAAAAATTAAAAGAAATTTAAAAAGTTGGTGCTGTTGCAAAAAACTTGATTTCTCCATCGGATGTCAGCGGATCAAAACTAAAGTGTCGTTAGATAGTCCCATTAATGGACTGTCATATGACTTCTAAATAATACAAAT